GGAGGTGAGCGGGGACTAGAGAGAGAGAAGGATCAACAAACCGGAGGTTCAGCAGAGCTGGGGGTTACTACTGAGCGGGGGATCAGCAGAGCTGGGGGATCAAATGAGCTGGGGGCTACTACTGAGTAGGGGATCACCAGAGGTGGGGGTTACTACTGAGCAGGGGATCAACAGAGCTGGGGGTACTACTGAGTGGGGGATCAGCAGAGCTGGGGGTTACTACTGAGCAGGGGATCAACAGAGCTGGTGGTTACTACTGAGCAGTGGATCAAAAGACCTGGGGGTACTACTGAGTGGGGGATAAGCAGAGCTGGGGGTTACAACTGAGCAGGGGATCAACAGAGCTAGGGGTTACTACTGAGCAGGGGATCAACAGAGCTAGGGGTTACTACTGAGCAGGGGATCAGCAGAGCTGAGGGTACTACTGAGCGGGGGATCAGCAGAGCTGGGGTACTACTGAGCGGGGGATCAACAGAGCTGGGGGTACTACTGAGTGGTTGATAAGCAGAGCTGGGGGTTAATACTGAGCGTGGGATCAACAGAGCTGGGGGCTACTACTGAGCAGGGGATCACCAGAGTTGGGGGTTACTACTGAGCAGGGGATCAACAGAGCTGGGGGTACTACTGAGTGGGGGATCAGCAGAGCTGGGGGTTACTACTGAGCAGGGGATCAACAGAGCTGGTGGTTACTACTGAGCAGTAGATCAACAGAGCTGGGGGTACTACTGAGTGGGGGATAAGCAGAGCTGGGGGTTACTACTGAGCAGTGGATCAACAGAGCTGGGGGTTACTACTGAGCAGGGGATCAGCAGAGCTGGGGGTTACTACTGAGCGGGGGATCAGCAGAGCTGGGGGTACTACTGAGCGGGGGATCAACAGAGCTGGTGGTTACTACTGAGCGGGGGATCAGCAGAGCTGGGGGTACTACTGAGCGGGGGATAAACAGAGCTGGGGGTACTACTGAGTGGTTGATAAGCAGAGCTGGGGGTTACTACTGAGCGGGGGATCAACAGAGCTGGGGGTACTACTGAGTGGGGGATCAGCAAAGCTGGGGGTTACTACTGAGCAGGGGATCTGCTGAATGAGGATAATAATAGGCTGGGGATCTGCTGAATGAGGGTCCCAATGAGCTGTGGATCTGCTGAGTGGGGGTACTACCGAGGCAAGATTCTACTGGGCCCCTTTAAAACAAATAGAAAGTCAACACACACACACACAGGGCTTTTGCCATGCTTCATTAAAGCATTAAAAAACATCAAAAAGCATGTTGAAGCGGTGGGCTCTTTAATGTGGGTTAAAGTCAAAGCAAGCGTAAATCAGCCCTTAGTGCAAGGGTGTCAAACTGGCGGGCCTCCAGCTGTTGCGAAACTATAAGTCCCATCATGCCTCTGCCTTTGGGAGTCATGCTTGTAACTGTCTCTTGCAATACTTCACGGGACTTGTAGTTTGGAAACAGCTGGAGGGCCACCAATTTGACAGCCATGCCTTAATGGGATTGTCATATAAAAAGGAACACAAATAGTGTATATAGACAGTCTCTGGAGACTTTAACTCATTTTAGTTCCTTAAGGATTCAGACAATTGTTCTAACAGCATTCACAAGTGCACAGGACGTTTACATGCATACAGTGGGGAAAACAATGATTTGATCCCCTGCAGATTTTGTATGTTTGCCCGCTTACAAAGAAATGAAGGGTCTATAATGTTTACCATAGGTGTACTTTAAATGATAGCGACAGAATATCAACCAAAAATCCAGAAAAAAAACACGATACAAATATTAGAAATGGAGTTGCAGTTCAGTGAGTAAAATAAGTATTTGATCCCCAAGCAACACATGACTTAGTACATGGTGGAGGAACCCTTGTTGGCAATCACAGAGGTAAGACGTTTCTTGTAGTTGGTTACCAGGTTTGCACACATCTCAGGAGGGATTTTGGTCCACTCTTCTTTACAGATCTTCTCTAAATCCTTAAGATTTCTTGACTGTCGCTTGGCAACTCGAAGTTTCAGCTCTCTCCATAAATTTTCTATAGGGTTAAGGTCTGGAGACTGGCTAGGCCACATCATGACCTTAATGTGCTTCTTCTTGAGCCACTCCTTTGTTGCCTTGGTGGTATGTTTTGGGTCATTGTCATGCTGGAACACCCATCTATGACCCATCTTCAGTGTTCTGGCTGAGGGAAGAAGGTTCTTAACCAAGATTTTACAATAAATGGCCCCGTCCATTGGCCCCTCAATGCGGCCAAGTCGATTGTATCTTTAGCAGGGAAACAGCCCAAAAGCATAATGTTTCCACCTCTGTGGTTGACTGTAGGGATGGTGTTCTTATGGTCATAGTCAGCATCTTTCTTCCTCCAAACACGGCGAGTTGAGTTGATGCCAAAGAACTCAATTTTGGTCTCATCTGACCACAGCCCCTTCTACCAATCCTTCTCTGAATTATTTAGATGTTCAGTGGCAAACTTTAGATGGGCCTGTACATGTGCTTTCTTGAGCAGAGGGACCTTGCGGGCACTGCAGGATTTCAATCCATGGCTGCGTAGTGTGTTACCAATGGTTTGTTTGATGACTGTGGTCCCAACTGCCGTGAGAGCATTCACAAACTCCTCCCATGTAGTTCTGGGCTGATCCCTCACTTTTCTCATGATCATCCTTACCCCATGAGATGAAATCTTGCATGGAGCTACAGACCGAGGGTGAGTGTTGGGTAATTTGTACTTCTTCCATTTGCGAATAACAGTTGTCTCCTTCTCACCAAGCTTCTTGCTGATGGTCTTGTAGCCCATTCCAGCCTTGTGCAGGTCTACAATCTTGTCCCGGACATCCATTGACAGCTCTTTGGTCCTGCCCATAGTGGTAAGGAAGAATGAGATTCTGTGGACAGGTGTCTTTTATACACATAGCGAGTTGTCGTTAGGAGCGCCTTCTTACATTGACAGGACTAATCTGTGTACCACACGAGCACATAGCCAGTCTGTAGGAGCCAGAATTATTGTTGGTTGGTAGGGGATCAAATACTTATTTTACTCACTGAACTGCAACTCCATTTATAACATTTGCATCGTGTTTTTTTCTGGATTTTTGGTTGATACTCTGTCTCTATCATTTAACCACTTCAAGTCCGGACACTTTCACCCCCTCCCTGTCCAGGCCAATTTTCAGCTTTCAGCGCTATCACAATTTGAATGATAATTGCGCGGTCATGCAACACTGTACCCATATGAGTTTTTTTAGCATTTTTTTCAGACAGATAAAACTTTATTTTGGTGGTATTTATTCACCACGGGGATTTTTATTTTTTTTGCTATATAAATGAAAAAGTCCAAACATTTTGAAAAAAAGTGTTTTCTTATAACTTTTTGCAAATAAATAATCTTTCTTCATAAATCTTGGACCAAAATGTATTTATCTTTTTAGTAAAAAAAAAAAACCCAAATTAGTTTATAACCAAAAATTATAATTTAAAAAAAAGTTTGACATTTTTATTTTTTTTTTTTATATTATAATTTATAGGGTTTTTTTTTAGTTTTTTTTTTTAACATACTGTCACCCTAGCAGTACAGTGTCACCATAGTGACACTGTACTACTTGTGGGGGGTGATGAAGATTTTTTTTTTTTTTAACAGTGATTGCTTTTACACCCATAAAGGCTACAAAACCAATCATTTTCTCCTCCTCTCTGGCTGCTTTCCTGCAGCCATTGAGAAATACTGTGTAAGCTGTGATTGGTCACAGCTAGTCACATGGTACAAGGCTGTTGTGAATGGCCCTGTACCATGTGACCTCTGTGATCATTCACATATTTCACACATAGTAAGCAATGATGCCAGGAAGTGACATCTTGTTTACTACTATTCATGTGATCGCTGATTGGCCCATCAGCGATCACATGAATCGTGACCTCACACAGAGGTCCTGTACAGTGATCGGTGTTCCGCTGTGTCCTGAGGATACAGTGGGCACTGACCGCAGTGCCACGCGCTACGTTTGAAATCTGTGAATGATCACAGAGATCACATGGTACAAGGCAATTCACAACAGCCTTGTACCATGTGACAAGCTGTGACCAATCACAGCTCACACAGTATTTCTCACTGGCTGCAAGAATGCAGCAAGAGAGAAGGAGAAATGATTGCTTTTACAGCCTTTACGGGTGTAAAAGCAATCAGTGTAAAAAAAAAAAAAAAAATCTTCATCATCCTCCACAAGTAGTATGGTGTCACTATGGTGACACTGTACTGCTAGGGTGACAGTATGTTAAAAAAACATAAATAATAATATTAAAAAAAAATTAAAATGTAAAAAGAAATTTGGAAAAATTATATAAATTTTTGGTTATAAACTAATTTGGGTTATTTTTTTTTTTTTACTAAAAAGTTAACTGAATATATTTTGGCCAAGATTTATGATGAAATATTATTTATTTGCAAAATGTTATAAGAAAAACACTTTTTTTCAAAATGTTTGGACTTTTCCATTTATATAGCGAAAAAAAAAAAATAAAAATCCCAGTGGTGAATAAATACCACCAAAATAAAGTTTTATCTGTCTCAAAAAAATGCTAAAACTTTCATATGGGTACAGTGTTCCATGACCGCGCAATTGTCATTCAAAGTGTGATAGCACCAAAAGCTGAACATTGGCCTGGGCAAGAAGGGGGGAAAGTGTCGGGACTTGAAGTGGTTAACGGAGGGTGGAGGAATCCTGACTTCTGATGGTGGGGGGTATCGTGGTGCCTCGTGATCCCAGGGAGCGCACAGGCAGGGAATGCGGGAGGACTTTTATAAATGGCCACCTGCTCCTGCACTGCTCCCGCCCGGCCGTTTATATACATGGGCCGGACGGGAAGTGGTTAAAATACACCAGTGATATAAATTTTAGACCCTTCATTTCTTTGTATAAATGGCGAACGTACAAAATCTTCAGGTGATCAAATCATTATTCCCCCCACTGTATATAGTTGGATTAAAAGGTGATCTTTTATATTTGGAAGGGGTTTAGGGTGAAGGCTCTTCCCCCATGGTATTCTTCGGATGTGACACAAGATGTAGCCTTTTGTGCATCTGATTATGAGCGGTCAGGTTTGCTTTACTCCGAAAAACCCTCCCGCACTCAGCGCACGAATACCGAACGTCACACGTGTGCGTCCTTAGATGCGAAACCAGGGTTCCTTTTTGGGCGAAACACTTCCCGCATTCGGTACAGGAATACGGCTTCTCGCCCGTGTGAACTCTCTCATGTCTCGTAAGAGAGGACTTGTAAGAGAAACTTTCTCCGCACCTTGAGCAAGAAAACGGCTTCATTCCCGTGTGAGTCGCCCGGTGACTGGAAAGATCCGACCTATTAACAAAACATTTCCCGCAGTCCGAACACGAGTACGGCTTCTCCCCCGTGTGAGTCGTCTGGTGAATAGCAAGGTTTGACTTTTTGGTAAAACACTTTCCGCACTCGGGACACGAAAATGGCTTTTCTCCCGTGTGATCCCTGTGGTGTTCGACGAGCAAGTGTTCGAAAGGAAAAGATTTGCCACATTCGGAACACGAGTACGGCTTCTCCCCTGTGTGAGTCCTCTGGTGGTAGGTAAGACTTCGGCTCTGGGAAAACGATTTTCCGCATTCCTGGCAGGAGTAGGGTTTCACCCAGCGTGGCTCCTCTGGTGTATGATGAGGGCGGTCTGGCAAGGGAAACATTTGCCGCATTCTGAACACAAAAATGGCTTCTCTCCGGTGTGAGTGATCTGATGCAGGATGAGATGGTTTCTCTGGGAAAAGCACTTTCCGCATTCCATGCATGTATAGGAGTCCTCCCCAGCGTGGATTTTTTCGTGTCTGGCGAGATACGACTTAATGGGGAAATTTTTGCCGCACTCGGAACAGGAATAGGGCTTCTCCCCCGAATGCGTTTTTCGATGCGTTATAAGGTTTGATTTCTTAGCAAAACATTTCCCGCACTCAGAGCATGGATAAGGCTTCACCCCCGTGTGAGTTCGCTCGTGCTGAGTAAGACTCGACCGCTCCGGGAAACATTTCCCGCACTCTGAACAGGAATACGGCTTCTCCCCGGTGTGAGCCCTCTGGTGCACGATCAGGCTGGACCTCCTCGTAAAACACTTTCCGCACTCGGAACACGAAAACGTCTTCTCTCCGTTGCCTCTGTGTTGCGAGGTGAGCTCTTCACTCCAGGAAGGTTCGCCATGAGTGCTGCAAGGCAAGGGACTCGTAAAATTTCCTTCTTCCGCAGAGGGATCAGGAGAAAACTCATCACTGTGAGGTGTCAGGCGGGTAATTGGAGTCACAGGGTTTTCTTCCGAAGAGTCAGAGGTGACTTCATCTTCCGTTTTACCATCTGGAGACATATTGGGATATTCTTCCATATTAAACCTTCTGTATTTTCCATCTGAAGGACATAAGAAATCAAGATAAAAAAATGTGTTTTTTTTTTTTTAAATATATTTTTTACTATACTACCCACTTAAGGACCAGGCTTTTTTTTTTTTAACTCTGTTTACAAGTAAAATCCAGTAACATAAAATTAATTGAAACCCCCACACATTATATATTTTTTTTAGTAGAGGCCCTAGAAAATAAAATGGCGATCAGTAAATTTTTTTTATGTCACACGGTTTTTACGCAGCGCAATTTAATAAAAAAAAACAAAAAATATTTTAATGAATTAAAAAAACAATACTACTCATTTAAGGATCAGGCCTTTTTCTGACACTATTTACAAGTAAAATCCAGTAACAGAAAATTATGTGAAACCCCAAACGTTCTATATTTTGTTAGCAGAGGCCCTAGAGAATAAAATGGCAGTCCGTATATTTTTTTTTTCATGTCACACAGTTTTTGTGCAGCGCAATAAAAAAAAAAACATTTTAATGAATTAAAAAAAACCCACTAAAATGGCAGTCAGTACATTTTGTTTATGTCACATGGTTTTTGCACAGCACAATTTAAAAAAAGAACAAAAAAAAACATTTTAATGAATAAAAAAAACCCCCACTATACTGCCCACTTAAGGACCAGGCCTTTTTCTGACATTCTGTTTACAAGTAAAATCCAGTAACATAAAATTAATTGAAACCCTCACACATTATATATTTTTTAGTAGAGGCCCTAGAAAATAAAATGGTGATCAGTAAATTTTTTTATGTCACATGGTTTTTGCGCAGTGCAATTTAATAAAAAAAAAACAAAAAAACAATTTAATGAATTATAAAAAACTATACTACTCACTTAAGGACCAGGCCTTTTTCTGACACTGTTTACAAGTAAAATCCAGTAACAGAAAATTATGTGAAACCCCAAACATTATATATTTTTTTAGCAGAGGCCCTAGAGAATAAAATGGCAGTCAGTATATTTGTTTTATGTCACACAGTTTTTGCGCAGTGCAATTTAAAAAAAAATACACTTTAATGAATTTAAAAAACCCCCTACTATACTACCCACTTAAGGACCAGTCCTTTTTCTGACACTCTGTTTACAAGTAAAATTCAGTAACAGAAAATTTATTGAAACCCCAAACGTTATATATTTTTTTAACAAGACCTTACAGAATAAAATGGCAGTCAGTATATATTTTTTTTTTTTATTTCACACTTTTTTGCGCAGCACAATTTATTTATTAAAAAATACACATTAATGAATTAAAAAAAAACACTATACTACCCACTTAAGGACCAGGCTTTTTTTTTACACTGTTTACAAATAAAATACAGTAATAGAAAATAATCTGAAACCTTAAACATTATATATTTTTTAGCAGAGGCCCTAGAGAATAAAATGGCAGTCAGTAAATTTTTTTATGTCACATGGAGTGGGGGGGGGGGGCGCTTTTAAAACATTTTTTAAATTATTATTTATTTTATTACTTTTTTATTTTTACACTGTTCCTATTTTTTTTTTATCACTTATATTGCTATCACAAGAAATGAAAAGAATACAGCAGGACAGGTCCTCTTTATGGAGAGATCCTGGGTCTTTAAGACCCTAAATCTCTCCTCTACCTTTAAAAGCTAAAGATCAAAAAAAATGTTTTGAGCTTTTACAAAAAAAAAAATTTAATTGTTTACATGGCGCCAGAAGTGACGTCATGATGTCGCTCCGGTCCTCCTAGGCAAGGGGTCTCCAAACTATGGCCCTCCAGCTGTTGAAGTACTACAAGTACCATCATGCCTCTGCCTTTGGCAGTCCTGCCTGTGGCTGTCAGAGTCTTCCAAGGCCTCATGGGACTTGCAGTACCTCAACACCTGCAGCTCCATAGTTTGGAGACAAACTAAAGAAACAAACATGAGAATGTCGAAATATTTGTCATTGCAAACATTTTCTGGGCGAAGTGATACTGCATGTTGAAATGCGTTTTTTATATATTACATAATATATGAAAAATACTTTTACAAATATATATTTTTTAAATATATTCTTCAGATTTTTTTTTTAAAAAAAAACATATAAAAAAGTCATTTTAACATATATTTGTAAATGCGTTCCAAAAATGTAGATTTGTATATTTAAAGATATACAGTATATTTGAAAATGTATTTTTAAAAATATTTTTCATATATTTTGTAATAAAAATGCATTTCAACATAGTTTATATATATATATATTTATTGAAAATATATTTTGAAATATATTGAATATGGCCAAAATTGTAGTATTTCAAATATATGTCAATATATTTGGGAAGAATATTTTTAAAATATATTTCAAATATATTTTTCTTCCATGTTGGTACCCTCTACACAGGCTGACTGGTGTCCAAGAGCTGCCCTAATGCAGGCCATACACGGGTCGAATTCTGAACAAATTTTCTTTAGAAAATCAGAAATTTTATAGCCCAATGGTGCCACCATTGATTTCAAAATTCGACCAACCGAGCCTTCAATTTTACCACGTGTTGCTACAGAAAAAAATTTCCCGTGTCCAGGAATCTTCTTTTCTTTCGTGCTCATTTCTTTTTCGATTATACTTCTCGCACGATCCCCCCATCATTGATTAGAAATTTGTTTGTTTTTCAAAAAATTTCCAAACATACTCGACCACTCAAATTCGATGGCCGCACTTCATTTTCTACCTGACTCCCCTGCCAGCCTGATCCTCCCTTACCCATGGCTGGTCTCACCACTTCACCAGGGCCTCCAAACCTGGGACTGGTCAGACTCCCACAAACATGCAGACTAGGTCTTTTCCTCTTCTGCCCACCGGCTTCTGGAAGGTTCCAGTCTCCCCCAGAGCCGGTGGAGGCGATGGAGTCCTCATGCACAGGGGACGTTTTGATGACGCTGGTAACGTTAGGTGTGTAAAGTCACATTAACCACTTCCCGTCTGGCCCATGTACATAAACAGCCGGATGGGAGCAGTGCAGGAGCGGGTGGCGTTTTATAAACATCCTCCCCGCCTGTGCGCACTCCCCGGGAGCGTGCGGCACCGCGATTTGGTGCCTGCTGTGTCCTGAGGACACAGTGGAACACCGATTGCTCTACGGGATCTCTGTGTGAGGTCCCGATCATATTATCCCTGATTGGCCAATCAGTGATCCCATGAAGAGTAGTAAACAAGATGTCACTTCTGACATCATTGCTTACTACTTGTGAAATCTGTGAATGATCACAGAGGTTACATGGTACAAGGCCATTCACAACAGCCGTGTACCATGTGACAAGCTGTGACCAATCAGTATTTCTCAATGGCTACAGGAATGCAGACAGAGAGAAGGAGAAATGATTGCTGTTACAGCCTTTATGGGTGTAAAAGCAATCAGTGTAAAAAAAAAAAATCTTCACCACCCCCCACATGTAGTACAGTGTCACTATGGTGACACTGTACTGCTAGGGTGATGATATGTTAAAAAATAAATACATAAAAATATAAAAAAAATAAAATAAAAATGTCAAAAAAAAAATGTAGAAAAAAATTATAATTTTTGGTTTATAAACTAATTTGGGTTTTTTTATTTTTGTTTTTTTTTTCTAAAAAGATAGATATGAATACATTTTGGCCAAGATTTATGAAGAAAGATTATTTATTTGCTAAATTTTATGCGAAAAACACCTTTTTTTTCAAAATGTTTTGACATTTTCATTTTATATAGCAAAAAAAATAAAAATTCCAGTGGTGAATAAATACCACCAAAATAAAGTTTTATCTGTCTCAAAAAAAATGCTAAAAAATTCATATGGGTACAGTGTCCCATGACCGCGCAATTGTCATTCAAAGTGTGATAGCGCTGAAGCTGAAAGCTGAAAAATTGGCCTGGACAGGAAGTGGTGAAAGTGTCCGGACTTGAAGTTTTTAAAAGGATGAGTTTTTTTCAGCTTTTTTTTAGCGTTTTTCCCACGTTTGCATTTTTTTCCCCAAAAAAATAAAAACTTTTTTTTTGTTAAAAAAAAGTCCAAAAACGCCGGTTTTTTAGGGCGTTTTTTTTAACGCGTTTTTCCAGCGTTAGAGCATTTTTACAGCTAAAAATCTCCTCTAGAAGCCCACTAGTTCTGGGTTTTTTTTCCAGCCAAAAAAAGTTCCAGCCAAAAAAACATTGACTCCAGTTTATGTGTGCATGAACACATAGGATAACATGCTGGGGGGTTTACTGACTGTAGAAAAAAATGTCAAAAGCCCCAAACAGCTGCTGTAAAAATGTCCTGTGTGCATGAGGACTAAGACCAAAGAAATGTGAGGAGGAGAGGCAGAGTCTAATAGAGGCTGATGGCTCCTGACCCTCCCCCCCCCCCCCCCCCACTGGGCACATACTGTCCCCCCATTAAAATTTTATGTGAGGTTAGCCAATTAGGTGTGCAGCCTTTTTACTAGTAGGTTAGGTGGCACCCTTTCAGATATTCTGGTGGCTTCTCAATTATATGCTTAGTGATTGAATGTGGACTCCCCAGCTTATCTGTTTCCCCTTTTTCTCCCAATTTTTGATGGCCATTACTGAAGAAGAGATGGTTGTAGTGACTGAACAAGGAGGATCTGGGACTCTTCTCTGGATTTAGTGTTTATTCCTCACCTGGGCTGATCTCTGGAAGGATCTCCTCCTCCTTACACGGCTCATAGCCAGAGTTAATAGAGAGGCTGATGGCTCCTGACCCTCCCCCCCCCCCACTGGGCACATACTGTTCCCCCATTACTGTGTACTGACAGAGGAGTGGGGAGAAGAAGAGATGGTTGTAGTGACTGAACAAGGAGGATCTGGGGACTCTTCTCTGGATTTAGTGTTTATTACTCACCTGTGTTGATCTCTGGAGGGATCTCCTCCTCTTTGCATGGCTCATCGCCCCCTACGTCCGTTTCTTTGTCATCTGTATTTTCGGTCTTACAGTCATGCTGGCTCTCTTCCTATGTAGGCAGCAAAACA